TATATATATATATATATATATATATATATATCTGTATAAAAGATGCACGTTAAAAAAAATTTAAGATACCCTCGCTTTTCTTCTCCAAATTTCTCAACGTGCCATTTGCTGTGCTTCATTATTCGTGTTTTTCCTGCCAATTTTCCTCACAACAAGATGAAGAGAAACTACTCCCAACAATAGAAGTAATTTTGAATTATAAACTTTACTAGAAACTTCAATCCCAATTTGCTACGAAGATTTTTATTGAGTGCATGTTCAATTATTAAAAGCTACAACTGAAACTGGTCTTTAAATTTCTTCCGCTACTGTACCTACCAAACAGTTTCCAGCAACACAATTTATTATTTACCAATTGGTTTTTGGTCCTACAAAATTAATGACATTTCGCTTCCAGCTATGAATCATAGAATAAACAAAAATAAAAAAACCTGGTGACTTTTCTTTGATGCTACAATACTCATCTTAGCCGCAAATGAATTCAAAAAGGGACTTTTAAAACACTGCAGGCTTGCTGTATGGATGAACCGACAACAGGGAAAATTGCATGGAGACAGTTACAAGACAAAAAAAACTACTGTGAAGCTCCGTACTGGCACTAACATGCTAACCGGTGCAGAAGTGTGCAGACGAATTGTACAATTTCATAAAAATATTATGCTGCAAATAATTAGTAAGCTATACCAACCTCGATTTCTGAGAGTTGTCGTCGCAAGACAGTGGCCGTCAGGGAACCAAAGTTATAGAAAATTTGCAAAATCCAGAGTTCAAAGAAAAAGAATTTAGACAGACTTTCGTCCCGCAGCAGTCTGTGCAGTCAAATTACCCAAAAAAAACTTTTAGAGACGTACCAAAAAGTAAAAACTTTTTTTGAAACGCCATTAATATTAAAACGTAACTTCAGCATTAGACCATTAGAAAGTTGAAAAATTCACAAACACATCCAAAGCCGAGATGAGCCAGTCAGAGTCAAAAGTCTACGACTCAAAAGTGAAGATAGATTAACAGTTAAAAACAGCGTCTAAAGATGAGGATGTCTAATCGCAAAACAACTTTAAAAAAGTAAATCACAACTACTTCAGCAAATGAGCAAGAAAAACTGCAGGATGACAGCTGCATATAGGTCTTAGTGCTCATTCAACCGTATCACATATAAAACAAAGCACTTCTGATATTTCAACCTGAAAGATGACGACCAAAAACTAATCAGTTTTGCTTTACGACTGCATCGCCATTATGGCCACTGTGTATCGCAGGATTTTTTCAAAGCTGTCAAGAAATACGAATCTTAACTCTGGATGAGTAACCATTAATTATCTTTCATCTAAGAGAAGCGAACTGC